AAGGCCATGCCAGCTTTGTTTATATTTTAATTGCATGTTTTTCAAAATCTGCTTCAACAAATTATTCATTAGTTTAGAATAATTTATTTATAAGTTTAATGTAGAATAATAGCTAAGACTTCTGTTAGAAGTTATGACATGACAATTTAAAAGCATTAGGTTACCTGATTAAGTGAAGCACAAACTGATGTATTAATAAATTCTAGTACAGTAGCTGTGGTATTTTACAGTAAGTAAGTTTTTGTCTTGACTCATCACCCCACTGGTAGGCCAGGAGCGAGAAAAGGTGAGAACAAGTGGTACAGATTCTATCTGCAGTATTTTCTTAGTCATAAACCGTGTGATAGGATGGAAAAACAGTTGGTGTTTCTCTTTGATGCACAGCTTGTCATGTGGTCAGCATCAGGACAAGGGCTGTGTGTTCACTCATATCATCTTTGAGCCTCCCACTAATGCAGTGTTGCCTGCACAGGTCTGTCTCACAGCCTTCAAAGCCATTGTGTTCCTGGATGTGTGCAGTGATCTGGTTTTCAGGAAAGTCATGGCACTCTCAGGTGGCACTGGTTGCTGCAGCAGGGTTGGTGCTATCAGTTGCTTCTGGTATTGTGGACATGGGGAATCAACTGAAAATTTAGGTGGCCTTTGAGAAGCAGTGCAGGCACAAGGCACTTTTAGGCTGTACCAGTTGGGATACATCAGATGTCTTTATAACGTTTCAGTGATTCTCTGAGATGGAAGTTTGCTTCTGCCACGTCAAAATTTGGGGTGTGATTGCTCACTCATCTCTTTGCTTTTTCTTTGTGGATGGATTTTGATGTTGGAGTGTTTGTTTTTGTCCAGCTGTCAGTGATACTAGCACCCCAGAAACAGCAGGCTGAACAGGCAGAGTTCCCCTGAAGAAGCTGTTCCCCCCCAGATGCAGTACCCAGAACAGAGAGGATGGTTTATTTTGGGGTAACTATACAAAAGCTTGTTACTAGTATCTCTGCCACATACACATACAAGGTTTAGGGACTAACAAACACATTTCAAGGATTTTTCTTTCCTATTTATTTGTTGTCACTGGTCAAGCTAGAAACTAAAGGATTTCCTCAGGCAGCCAAAGAATTTGGTAACTTCACAAGGTTAAGTGCAGTTCTGAAACTGATTGTTCTGAAAAACAGACCTGGGAGTATTTGAATATCCTACGTCTTCCAGCTTGATTTTAGTGACATGGTGGCACAGAGAGAAATAGAAAATCCTTTTCTAGATATTCATGTATCAATTCCTTAGCTGAGGAAAGTCAGCTAGGAGTCACAAAAGCTAGGTTTCTGTGTGAAATGTTTAAAACAAAGAAAATGAAGTAGGGGAAAGAGAAGTCATAATATGCCTGGGATTTGAAGATTAGTTTATAAAATCATGCTGCACAGAACCCCATGCTGTATCAGCGGGTGTGTGTCCATGGGTGCAAGAGAGCTGGCCACAATAGTCAGCATGAGGGGATGACTTTGGGTGAATGCTGGGAAAGGGTAATGTCACCAATACAGATTTGTTTTATTGGTAGTCTGGGAGGAAGGACAGATGAGTCCTGTGAAGATATTGGGATCTGCTATGGATACGAAGCTGGTGGCACCACTGGTGTAAAGGAAATAGTATGATTGAAGGGCCCTGGACTAGCTGCATGAGGTGGGCAGATCAGCTCCTGCATGCTTCTACTTGGAGAAGAAGACTAAAAACAAAACCAGGGTTCCCCTGTATCCTGAAACTTTCTAACCTGCCTTGAAATCCTTGTTACCTGCAGAGGCTGCTTACTCAGCCTGTGGCTCTTTGTAACTGCTCCACATCCATCCTCTGTTTTGTCAGTAACCTCAGAGAGGAAGAGAGTGACTCCAGCCTTACAGCCTTCCTCACTACATAGCCCTCGTGTGCTAAACTGCATCTGTTTTTCTAGAATTAATTAATGCTCTTCTATTTTGTTTTTCCCCTGCCTTGAGAAGGGGAAAAAAATAAAAGCCAGTTTTTCCCTCAAATGGATCATAAAATAGATAATCTGACGTTTATTACTACTGCAGAAGATCAGAAGATATTTAGAGAGTGTGATGAAACATTTGTCTCCTCTCAAGCTCTCCAGAAGGAAGCCGTCCTTGTTTCAAGTGCTAAGACAATAGCGAATAAAAAGAAAATTCCCTGTTCCAGGGCTATTTTTACCAGTGGTGCAGTTCCTGTTCAGTAGACCTATACCTCTTAATCTACATCACTGATCATATTGGAAGCTGTTTTAGGCATTGCATAAAATGTTCATCCAGTCTTTGCTAAAAAAGAAGCAACCAACCCACAAGTCCTTTGTTAAACACTGGTTGCATGGCTTCAGCAGTAATTTGGGTATAAAGATCTTAGGCTGAGGTTGTGGCAGCATCTTGCTTTTTTTGGGAACAGAAGTTGTGTGTGACCTTGGGAAAACACAAATTGGTGATTGTTCTTTCCTCCCCTACCTCCTCATTATCTCTTTAGGGTTTTGGCTCTTCTAATTTATAATGGCAGCTGTCTTCTTGCACAGAGGGACCCAGTATGCAGCTGGACAGTAAATTGAAATGGAGTTCATTATCTTGTGTGAATGTGATAATGAAATAAAACCCACCTGAACCAGCAAAATCTTTTAAAGTTTAGATCAGGCCTCAGTCACAGTCTCACCATCTCCTTTACTGAGATTGTAAATGTCTTTACTCCTCTTTGAGAAGTACAGTACTGAAAATATAATTTAATAATTTCCAGGATTTTGACTTGCCAACTTCCTTACATTTGTATTTTCACTGTGTTGGGATGCATTGGTGTGATGAGTTTCCTACTTCTGTGAGTAAGCCAAGTAAAAATGAGGTTAAATCTCAGACAGGGCTGAGTGTTCTGTGTGTTCCAGCATCTGTCTGGATTAGGCTTTTCATCCCTGTCTCCTCCAATACCTTTTGTCTTGTCAGAAGCATTTTTATAGGTATGAAAACATATATCACAGGGCAGGCAGAACAAACTTGATGATTAAAATGTTTTTTATTTGCAGTATCTTAAGATGAAACCATTTGCCATGGGCTGTTTCAGCAGATTGTGTCTCTGGAAATGCTTGCATGGGCAGACTGGAGGTGATTTGGGTAGCTGGTTGAAGATTCATCCCTAGGCTCCAGGGTGTAGGACACAGGCTGGCAATATTTATCCATCCCTTGTGAGTCATGTGATTTCTGTTAGGAACCTCTGAGACAAATTACAGGACACTTTTGAGGACTTCTTATTCTTCCACCATCCCAGCTCCACAGTGTTTTTGCTGGGACCTCCCAGAGCGCCTGGTTATGTTGGCTAGTGAAGGGGAGCTGTAGAAGTGAGGGAGAGATCATAGCAAGGCAGTGAACTGCCAACTGGTGAATGGTGGAGCTAAGGTACACAAGGCAGGATTAGGGTTTCCTTGGTTTCTGCAGAGGATGATCTCTGCAGTGGGAGGTTTGGCAGCATCAGGTACCCCTTCCCATGAGTCACAGGAGGCTTTTTCAGAGGAAAGGTCTAAGAACTGCGCTAGTGCCACGCTTGTTCTTTTCTGTTCCTTCCAAAAGGCCTTTTTGCCACCATGTGGTACTTGCTCCACTGTCATCCTTGTCCCATACAGCCTACCTTCCTCCATTTCCTCATCCTCCTCACTGCTGTGGTGGTTGAGAGAGTGGAGAAAAACTGTCAGCTCAGGACAGATGCTCTAAAGTTACTAAGATCTGTTTATAGCAGCGAGGGTGGAATTTCTGTTTGATGCAACGGTTGATGGATGTGTGAAGTCATCCTGTGGTTGTGGGGGAAGGCAGAAAGGAATTGATTCCCTTTGCATCCCTCTACCCCCAAAATTTTGGGAGACAACCCCTGGAAATAAATGGGAAATTTGTTACTCCTTCCTGTAAGCCCCCTGGTCCACTCAAAGGTAGATGGGGTTTGTTGGACCACTCCCAAAAATTTTGTGGTAGGGAGATGTTTCATTTTCCTGTTGATAGCCTTCCCTGTCAGGTGTTCTGCTGTCACAGGGACTGAGAAACACCGGCTTACTGCTGGGAACTGAACCTAGTTGACTTGTGTGTCCTAAGGGCAGGGAAATTTAAGCTTGTCTTCAGTCCTTAAGAGTCCTGGGCTCATTGGTTACTCCAAACTGGCTGCTTATTTGCTGTGTATGCTGTTTCATTGCAAACTTAAAATGCTTGAAAACAAACCAGTTCATCTTTTAGTTTTTCCAATATTCTTTTTAAAAATTCATTTATGTTTCTGTACTCCTTCTTTACTATCCCTCCCCAGTTGAGCTGTTTAACACTCCATCTCCTTACAGAACACGAGGTGATTTCTGAATTCATAGGTTCCTTTTCCTACTGAGATTAATATTGTCCTGAAGAAAGCCTTGGAATAAGGAGATGAGATCAAAGCAGACACAACAACTGAATAGTGGCAGTAAAACTAAAATCCTCACTTCAGAAAGAACTTGTTTCTGAGCTGAGCTGTGCAATGAGCCCTGTTATAATCTTGTATTAGTCCAGAAGGGTCCTCGCTTGCCCCTACAGTCCTGCAGCATTTCTGCATTTTCCCTGGTTTTATTTCCCCTTGGTGTGAATAAGCAAATGCAAGGCTCAAATAACACAGTGAAGCTGGTTCCAACACGTGAACGGCACTAGATAGAAAAATAAAAGAGGAGAGCAAATTTCCTTCTTGATCTGTAAAGCAGAAAATACTAAATCCCTCCAGACCTCCTTTTTGGCATGTACCATCCATAAGCCCTGTTTGGGATTTGGATCAGCATCACGGCAGAACCCGGGTGCGTTGCTGCCTGCGTGCAGTGCAGGCTTGTGTGTGTCTGGCAGCAGCACAAAAGAAACCAGCTGATGATATTCATAGGATTAAAGGCCCGATTCCTGGGGACACACTTGGTTGGATGCAATTAAAATGCCTGTCAGGCATTTGATACCAGCAACCCCTTGACAAACTGCTTCAGCAGCCGCGAGGTGCAGCATCCTATTGTAAGTGGATGATGGCGGAGCTGGCTGGCTTGTCGTCATTCTCGAAATTTCTGTGGCCAGTGAACTCCCTCTTCCTCTCCCACTCACCCTCTTTTCCTTTTCACCACTGCGGGGACTTTTCCTAATTTGCAGTTTTCCTTTTCCTGACGTGCACATGGTAGCTACAAGCTGGTGGCTTGCAGACTGCGTCTGGCTGGAGATAGGCAGCGAGCCGATGGATAACAACACTCCGGGAGAATGATTATGCAGCAATTATTTAAGGATAGGCTTTTGTGGTATGGCAGCATATGAGCTGGTAATGATTTTATTTTAAAAATGTCAGCTTTGTTTGCTTGTTGAGAATTTGAGAGAGTTATACCTTTATGCTGAAGCTTTTTTGGATTTTATCTGCCGTAGATTAGAATCTGTAGCAATGCTGCAGAATTACACATGGATGAATTAAAATGAATAGGTAATAAACTTCTGTGGATTTGTTTATAAATACATTGATGCATGCATAGTGTGTGTTATATGTAGACACACCTTCTTACACAGATGACTGTATGGATATGTTTATGCATTTTTGTTTTTGTATGATAGACTACATAGCTAAAATATGGGGTTTTTTAGCTAAAAACTGTTTTTCAGCAAAAATTAAGTGTTTTCAGGGCTTTTTTCACTCTCCCTTTGTTTTGTATTAGCAGATTCTTCAGTGTATAGTCTTGGACGCAGCGTGCTGATTGGAATCTTGTTCAAAGATCGGAAAGGTAGGACTCCTCTCTTTGAATATGGGAATGAATATGGTACAGACTGTGAGCTGCTCTTTGTTATTTTGTTTTTCCTTTTTAATTTAAACGGTGGTTGTTTTGTTTTTGTCAGCTTTGCAGAGATTTACGGTGTCAGGCACTGTAAAGTTATTTCTGATGTGTAAGCATACGCTCTAGGTAACTAATTAGTCCTTTTAGCTGCAGCCACCAAAGGATGAGATACAAACCCAAATGCCTATTGTCTTGTGTTAGTATAGCAAGGGTGCAAGCTGCCTCCTGTCATACCACATTTGGGCTCGTCCTAATACTGATTTTAGCATCAGCAAGGACAGGGTTAAACTGGCAGCCTTGTTCCAAGCAGGTACCATCTCCCTCAGGAAGCAGCTCTAGCAGCTCAGGTTCCAGCAGCCTGTCAGGGCTGGGTGAGTGTCTGTCTGATGGCTTTTTGACATACTACTGGCACTTCAGAAATTATGTCGGCATATCAAAAGGAGGAAAACAAGCTGGGTTTTTTTTTGACAATGTCATTGCTAATTCCCAGGAGAAGCTGTTGATTGTCCTCTTTAAGCCCTTGCCTCTGTAAAGAAAAGAGGGAGATAAAATGCTACAGAATAAAATCTCTAAGTTACTTTGTATTGGACTTCCAGGTGTGTCAGGTAGCTAAGGAATACAGATTTCATTGATTTGCAGTGAGGACTGTGCTTAAAAAAAAAAAAAAAATTTAATCTAGGCAGGATTGAAAATCTGTTCCCTTTCACTTTAATGGAGAGAGGAAAAGGTGTATCCATCTTGAATTAACTTCTCAGGTACCAGTTCTCACCCAACACCTATCAAACCTGACTTTATGATGTTCTTCTCTATTATGGTACCCTACAGATGGTCGTACTTCTTAGGTCTGCATTCAGACCTGGAGGGAATATGTGCAATCACAATATGCATGTGTCTTTAGTTTGAACGTTTAAGGGGCCTTTTCAAAATCTGAAAAAAAGCCCACAGAGTTTTTTTTCCTGGAAAGGTGGTTGTGTTTCACTCTTTGAGAAAGCCTAGGCTCCTGAAATGGCCAGTGTGGATCCCCAGACAGGCAGGAGTCCCAAGCCAGAACCTGGGCACTGGCAAAGGTGTGGGCCACTGCTAACAGCAAAGCATGCCACAGAAAGGTGATGTATAATCAATATAATTGAAATGAATTTCTATGACTGGTTGATAAATGCTGTTTCCTGAGGAAAAGCATTGTGAATTTTTCCAGATATTCTCTCTCCTGTTTTCTTACGTACAATTCTCTTTGTTTTCCTCTTCTACACATCCTTCCTTTCTCTTGGCCCTTTTAGTTTTCCTGTCTTTGGCAGAAGGCTTTTTACCTGGCTGAATAAAATTCTTGTAAGGAATTCTTTACCTGCTAGTTTATCTTAGCTGCTTTTAATAGTTTCCTCCTGGTATCGGTTATCACTAGACTCATGGAAATAGAAAAGCCTGTAGTAAATAGTGTTTAAATTGCTTTAATTTGTGAAAAATGCATTCAACTATTTGATTTTAGCTAAGAGAAAGTCCTTTCTTTTCCCTCTACTTTGAATTTCACTTCCATTGTTCAAGGCAACAAGCCTAACGGCAGTCTCATTTTGATTTCATTAATGTTTTGCAAACTCTGTCTCAAAGACTAATATTGCTTGCTGGCTTGATGTCAGAATCCAAGGTTTTGCTGCAGCATTGGAGAAAGGGAAAGGAAGGATCTCTCACAAATAGAAATTATACCATTGTAAGCAGACAAGTAGAACTGCCTAGTTTTTATAGTATAGGTGGGTAAAGAGTCCAATTTCTTGACAATGTGATCTCTTCAGATCCCAGCAGGTTTTCACCTGCTATGGAAATGTCTCTTATCTCCTGTACACAACATCTTATCAATCCTCTATGGTATCCTAAAAACAAAGGAAGGGCATCAGCTCTTTGTTATTAAATCAGAGTTGGTAGAGACTGGATTTTTTACTATATATAAAAATACATCTATATTTCTTGTACTTCTGATTTAGTAGTCATTTTGGCCTCCTTTTATCTGGGCTTTTAAGATTCATTCTACAAATCATTCCTTCAGGTTACAAAGAAGAAAGTGAGATGTTATACTGGCAAACCTGGGAATTATTTCAAACAATATAATTTTCTTGACTAAGAGGTAAGGTGCACTTTGGCTGGAAGAAGAGAATTGTAGATTGACACGACTTAAAAAATCCTGTGGCCACAGGGGTAATATGAGCTGGCTTGGAATATGAAAAGAAAACCATTTTGTTAGCTGGTACAAAAAGGCAACAGAAGCCAGAGTGTGCAGCTGCAGTGAGGTGTGCTGGATTACAGTTTGTGGACTCTGAGGATGACGTGATGTTTGGCACTCACCTTCAATTAAATATATGATGATAAGGTGACCAAATGCACCAAAGGCATCCAGGAGGAGCACGTGGTGTCAGCCCATCCCCAGAACTCTGCTGCAGGAGTGAACTTGGGCCTCCATGTCTGCCCCTGCCCTGAGATTGTCATCTGTTTTTTAACCCCACTCGTAAAGGGGAGGTAAGGACACCATTTGCTTGATAACTGTTCTAGGCTGGGTCTCAGCATCCTTGGATTGTTTCAATCAGCAGGGTTAATGTTGTCTTGTCCTATGATTACATGAAACGAGTAGTGGTTTGAGCATTGGAATGAATGGTGCTGACTTTGATTTATGACTTGTGCTTGAGGAACAATGTTCAGTGATGATTTTCCTGCTGTTTTACTGACTAGGAAGACTGTCACCTAGGCAAATGGTTTGGTGGCAAATATTATGGCTTTTCTTTCAGCTGAAATGTGAGCAGGGTCATTTGCAGGGTCTGCTTTTTCTTCTTGAATGTTGGTTTTCATGAGACTTGCAGGAAGGCAGTTACCTCTGTAACAAAACAGGCTGAAATTGGTCAAGGGACTCAAAAGTTACAAACTGCAGAGAACATAATCTACAAAAAACTTTCAGTGACTGCGACTGGAGCTAATATATTCTGATGAAAGCTCTTTCATATGCATTTGCGTCTTGTGTCCTCTCCTCCTGTGCCAAAGCTTCCACTATTCCAGTTTCTGTGAGGCCGTGTGCTGCCAGTTGGGCAAGGACACTGCGTGCTCTAGAGCTGCTCTGATTGCTGACTGGCCACTGTGTGCATGTGCTGCTTGTCTGGAAGGTCAGAGACAGTGAGTACTGAGGTTATGGCAGTGCTTTCTTCATTTAAAGGAAAAATTCAATTTAATTTTGGTTTTAATTTCTAGGAAGAAAAGTTTCTGTCCCTAATTCTCTGTTGAGCTACATTTAAATATTAAAAGCTAGGGGTAGTTAGACAGCAGAAGTTTGGTTTAGTAATGTTAGAAAGGACCCTGGGTAGCCTGTCAAGAAGGTAACCATTAAAGGACAAGAATCCAATGGAGGATGAACTGGACCAGGAGCTGTGCTGACATGGCCTCAGCTGGAGGAAGAAGGTGCACATGATTAGGTGCAGGACTCTAGTTCCTGTGAAGAGCTGTAAACTTCCAGGTTAATTCCTGAAAGTTTGTGTCCTCTTTCTCTTCATTATTTTCTTTGTCTCTGAAACAGACAAAGAAATGCTAGTGTATTTCTGAGGAGGAGTATTCATCAGCTTAGCAAAATGATTGAGATCCTTGATTACAGGGAGCTGTGAAATTTGGTCACGAGTCTTAGGATGGTGGATTTTGTCTTTGCTGCAGGAACAAAGGTGTTTGTGGTATTACTGCAGTAGCAGTAACAGTAAAAAGGTTAAAATACATCTACTAAGACTTGATTTCTCCCAGCTTCATCCATCAACTTAACTCTTCCTTCTTCTTTGCTGTATTGAATTACATTGTGATCATAGAGGTCAGTGATGACATTTAAGGTGTTAATGAATAAATAGTAATCTATTAATCTGTCCCATTTCATAGAAAAGAATGGCTGTTTCCTGATGGACACTGAGCTGGCATACCAAAGCTGTGAAAGGCAGAGTCTGTGTTGCCAGTAGCATGCTAAGAAAAAACCTCTATAGCAATGCTGCTGACTCATGCTTTACAACCCTGGAACATTCCCTGAAAGGCTGGAGGTGCAGATTAACTTCTTTTCCCCATCCTGGTCAGGGGACAATTAATTTCATTATTTGCCACCAAGTGAAGCCTCTAGATAGTTCTGCACTGCTGCTGTTTTCACTGACCTTTTATGGAGTGCATTAGCATGGAGCTTGCGAGAAATCATGGGCAATTTATTTTAATACATTGGGTGTCAGTCAGTGCTAAATCACAGAAGCTATTTACATTTATTTTCTGAGTCATTACAGTTCTTGTGATAAGGTGAGTTTTTCACTGTATATGGTTAGTAAACTGCATTTATTTCTATTTTTTTTCTTATTTGGTGTGTATATTTTGCTTAAAAATGCAAAGGTATACCTTAATTAGCTAAAATTGGCTAAAAGAAAATGAATCATATGTTAGGAGGTGCCTTTCTTTGCCTTTTCCTTGTCAGAGGGAAGGGGTTCATGACTGCTGGAGACAGGACTAGAGAGCAATGGGGGAAAGAGCAGAGGTGTGTATTAAGTGACAGGATACAAGTCCCTGTCTCATCCAGTTGCCTCTGTCTCTGTGGTTCCCAAGCTGCTTCCTTCCACATGCCCAAAGGGACCTGAGCACTCTTGCTGCTCCTCAGCATGGCAGCATCTGAAATTGAGAAGCTTGATCTTATGGTAGAATTCATAGCCCTGAATTTGGCTGAGGAGAAGAAGATACATGGGACAGCTCTGTGGACTTGCACATCCTCTGACATCTCTTTCAGGTGTACAGCTGTGGAAACAAGGTCACAACACACCTCTGTGAAAAGTTCCTTGACAAATCACTGCCAACTGCAAGTACAGGGCAGCACAGTCCCCAAGCACAGGTAGTACAGCAGAGAGGAGGTTCTGCTGAAGTGATGTCTCATTTTTGCTCTGGAGAAAGCCCCTAGTTCTTCCTGCTCTGTA